TAAACAAACACAGAGACGAAGTTGCAATGCAAACAAAAACACAACAAGCGAACAAAATTTTAATTTTAATTTCTTTTTTTTCGTTAGAGAATATTCCATTTTGCAGCTGTTGAGTCCAATGAATTTAATATTAGTGGCTAAAATTGACTTTTTGTATTATTATGGGTTAAAAGCGATGTAACTTTTATCATAAGGTGGGAAATTATATAATTTCACTTATACCCTTTACACTTGGAAGAAAAATAGAAAATCATATAAAGAAGCCTCTGAGAAATGTAATTGCAATAAAGAAGCTTATTCTCTCTAATCTTTTGCATCTTCTTTCTTCGTCTCAAATTTTGCAAAAGAACTAAAAAAAAAAAAAATTGATATATATATAAGGAAGTGAAGGACTTGAGAAGAGAGAAACAAACTTAAAATGAGTTTTACAGAGAGGCTACGCAAAGTGTAAAATGAGATTTTGATTTCGAGATTTTTCAATCAGAAGTCCCATCTTTTCTTGACTCGGAACATCAACACTGAGGTTTTGATGTCATCTTGTGGAACTTGAAGCATGAACTGAACTTTCATCTTCATCGGCGTCGTTTTTACTTTTCCAGCTTCATCCCCGACCTGCGCATTAAACCGATTTTTAGTTGTCTTAATCTGATAAGAAACTAGCTCATACTAGACTCGAAAGCTAGCTCAAGAGTGTCCTTAAGGTATTCTATTAACCCCACTGTAACACAGAATGTAATCAGAGGCTATGTGTCACATTAGGTAGATTGGTGTGGTGAATGTATTATATTCCATACATCATAATCATATGGCTTGGGTTATGGCGGAAGCGATGAAAAGGGTTTTGCTGATAAAAAGAAAAGAGAAAAGAGAATTCTAAAGTTTGATGATTTACCCAGAGAGATGCCCAGCCAAGGCGTACATCGGAATCATAGCCAGCTTTGAATTTGTAGTCTTTACCATATGTGCGTTTGTACACAGCACTCCACATGTTTGAATCAAAGTTGTACCAGTAGCTGCATTGTAGGCCATCACAAATATTATACTTTCACAATACGGAACTGATGTACCAAAAGAGAGAGCGAGAGAGGAAGAGACACACTGAGGCCACTAACCTCAACTTATCTGAAGGGCTAAACCGACGTTTGAATGCAAGTGAAGCAGCATTGGAAGGAAGGGAAATGCTTGGGATGAAAGACAATTCATCATCCTGTATGAAGAAAGTTAAAGATTTGATGTCACATCCGAAAGATGGCGACGAATAATAGTCTTGTACATGTGGTGACATGCACCTTTTACAAGTTATTGAATAATAACACAAAAATGGAGAAGAAAAACCTTATAAGCATATCTCAGCCTCAACTCTTCATCTGTGTATAGAGCAGTACAAACACCATTCATGACTTGACGTTTGAGGATCCCATTAACAGATAAAACTCTATT